ATGTGGTGCAGCGACCACGTCCCCCTCCCCAACAAGTTCACACTCCCAACACTGGTGTAGCGAACGCTGGTGCTTCAAGCGGCAGCGCACCCCCGGTGGGCACATCCAATTTGACAGAAGGAACTACCCCAGAAACCTTGCAGACTGGAAGTACCAGTGCTTCTGCTGCAACGAACAGACCCCCTTCCCCGCTAGACATTGAATATGTTCCAGACATTAGCTGCTTTGCACGTCTAGCAAGGCGCTTCCCGTGTCTTTCACGCACTTAGCAAACAAGTACTGCTTTCTCCAGCTGCTAAGCGGTCACTCCCTTCAGAACCTTCTCGTTGGAATAGAGATTACTACTGCATGTATTTGAACATTGTTACTTCCGATAGACGCCTGTTATCCCATGTAGCATTCATTGAATTTCAGACACCAGGCATGCTTATCTCCACGGCCTTGTAAAACGATGAGCCTATACCTTACTTCGTCCTCATGGTGTTACGTCGCTTCGGGTTATCAACCTAGACTTCTGTAAGCGGTCTGACCGCGAGAACGCTAGAACCACCAATGCTTGCAGTGCTTGACAGTCCAGTAGAGTCCAGAATAAGTGGCTTGCGAACGTAGAGACTACATATCAGACGGGATGTACCCGAGAGGCACACAATGTTCAAGCTCTTCCAGACGATCAGGAAATACTGCTTGAACATTCCCGGAAGATGGCAGGGATGATGACGATTGACATCGATAGGAAGAAAAATGCGCTTCGTGCATGTAAACGGGCGGTTTTCGCTTGCGAATGAGTAAGAGAGAAGGCATTCGCTTCACGATGAATCGCCAAGACACGTTTGAAAACAACGGATGCAAGCACATTTTGACAGTGCGTTGAAGACTTGCGAATGGAGAAAAATGGGAAATATTGAAACGGCACATGTCGAAGATGGCGTAGCAGAGAAAGATTCAAGATCTAAATAACCGCGGTTAACACAGCGCTGTGAGGAGACTGGGTCATAAGTAGAATGATAGAGGCGCACGCCCAATTGCAATGTACTGTTGTGCTCGTGGTGAGTGAGATGTTTTGACGGCGGCAGTTGTGCATATTGACGATATGATACCTCGTGCTGGGGCGGTTGGAGACCAAGTCATCACTGTTGTCTGCTCAGTACTTGTACGTATAAATGAATCATTGAACTAAATGCGAATGCGAAAGACGGGGACAGCTGAAGATGACTAGAATGAAATTTGTCATCGACAGATATGATTCTATTATTATCCTGGGCTATACTTAGATGTCGTTCAACTCAAACACCAAACGGGGGGCAGACATCAACGAGGGAGCGGTTTCGGTGACAAGCCACGGCTGTCATGCACTAGGTGACCTGCGTCATATGACTAAATTTTCATCTAGTACATGCTACGATCTATCACTGCAATCTAGATGTTTTTGGTACTGTGCGTCGCGTGACGTACGGCCACTACCCACATCTCGTTTCTTGCTGGCACACGCAATCAAGTGATAAATATGACAGTATGGCATCCAGCCCTGCAATGTACACACGTAGTTCTGCTCAACGCAATGCTTTGTCCTCGCTTTGAACACCCGAACCTTCTTACCTGAAACTACTGTGCTTTCGGTGGATCTCTGGGCAGAGTGACCAAACGCATTCTGTGAGTTACATTGAATACCGTAGGGCAAACTCACCATGCCGGCCCTTTGTGAACACCACATCGGACGAAGAATCAGGAAACTATATTCCCTCGTCCAGATCCTTGTCTTCGTTCCTTGCGCCAGCTAGACTGTCAGAGAAGGTATCTACAGGGACACCCCCGAAAGGAACATTGTCATCGTTTATGCTCAGGGATGTAAAACTTGAAGACCTCTAGCGGTGGGTGGATTCGTGTTCATTGTGCAGCAAAATTCTCTTGGCGAGATCTGAATTAAAGCTCTGGCTATATGTATAGGACTCGAGCTTTTTTTTACAGGCGTTGTGGCGTGGCGACTAATGTAATGACCTACGTCAGACTTACGCTGCTCAGCATTGGGAGGATTGGGACAGGTACAGGGAATCGGTGCGTCTGCGACACAACAAATACCTTAATCGATCACCTTCCACGCACACCGATTTCTCGGGTCAGCACACGCTAGAGTGCCTTGGCCCACGCTTGCTGCCTGCTGATTTTTTTGTTCCTGGGCGAGGGATATGGGAAGCGAGTGATCGAGGGTGCTTGTAGCTGTTCCACTTTGCGAGCCCGTTGCGGAAGTCGACAATGAATGGTGGGGACGAGAACTGGGGTAGGATTTGTTTGCGAAAGGCAGTGTATCTAAAAAGGAGAGTTGGAGAAGAGGTTAGAGCGGAGGAGGGTGCATTGCTCCCGAACTTTGGTTTGAATCCAGAACATTGGTTATTTCGCTCGGAGTTGTGAAGTCAACACTTACCGAGGTTCAGCTGTGTCCTCGAAAACCTCCTGTATCCAATCACGATCGTTCTGGTGGCGAGTTCCATGCGCGATTTCAGTGCGTGATGCATCAACAAGGGATACGAGGTGCCACATCGAGAGTTCAAGATGATCGACGGAGGAAAGAGTGATCGAGATTTTCTTCCGCGAATGACTAAGTTCAACAGGCGACATGAGAAATAAAAGATGTTAGTGATGGACAGGCGGTGGCAAGGTGCAGGCCCGGAAGAGAGAGCTACATCTGAAGTATATAGAGTAATAAGGAGAATAATGGGCGCCGGCTCACCATGATCCATGTGTTCGCCAGCCCAATCTCCATCATATAAGCTATCAGTGTTATCTCAGCTGTGATGGCCGGTGCGCTCCTCCCTGACATCAATCTTCTTGCATGGTCTCCTCCTCTTGATCTGCACCGTGATCGTCAGCAAGGAACTGGGGGGACGTATCGAAGTATTTGTTAGCGGCCGAACGAAGGGAATGGAGGACGGGCTAGAGACGTGAAGATGATGGGGGCTGATCTTCGGCGATATCTGGAGATGGTCGAATGCGGTGAAGAGAGGGAATGAAGATAGAGAGCGGGACGATGGACTACGTGGGTGTGGAGTGTACGTGGGGAAGCCAATAGGAAGGGAAGGCAATCGCGGTGGACGAAAACGGCGGATGTAACCCCGCGAAAGACGCGATTCGAAGGTTGATGAGACAAGGCATCAGCCACATTCATCAATAACAGCAAGGAAACGACGCATACACTGTGAGGCACGCCTGGTGCACTGAGTTGGAAAGAGTTTTGCATCAGACCAGCGTTTCTGCGAGCGCCATGCATGCTCGTGTAGCAAATGGAGCAGTCCTCTAAGCCAAGCGCACAGCACTTTTGGGTGGTCAGAACTCTTCAGAGGGCAGCAACCTTGCCGATGGCGCGTGACACGAGTCTCGAACGCTCTGGTTAATGACCTTGGGTGCCGCTCGGAGGCGAGAATCGTTCTGTAGGAGTGGGAGAATACAATGTTCAAGTACGGTACTGACTGTTGGTACCACGGGCCGAGCTTGAGGATTGACAGGGAGATAGAAACGCGAGAATATGTGTAAAATGAGTGGAAATGAATGTGAAGTGAGGTGAAATCGGCCTTACTATGTGCTTGCAGTGACTGTCCTTGCTGGTGCTGTCGCCAGTCACACGCCTAGATGGTAAAAAACTGTGTGATTAATAGAAATACCAGAGTTTATACGTACATACCCAAGTTCATGATGCACTCTGCAAGTGTTGATGTACAAGCATCCTCCTCGCACAGTGAAAGGTGATACGGTCCGGTTCCTCAGTTTGCCATGCCATTCCTGGAGTTCTGAAGAGATTCTCGTGTTATGCGGAGGAGTTGAGAGTTGAGAGGGTGGGACAGAGGATAGGTGATGGGTCGACGGCAGTGACGTCCAATGTCGTCTGCCAGCGACGGGAACCTACTTTGAGAGAGTAAATTCAACGGAGGAGAAAAAGAGAGACTTACGAGTGCGGGTAGTATAGAGCGCAGACGACGGGTGAGCATTTGAGACGAGGGTAAAGATCTGAGCACGTATAGAGGAAGTGAATTAAGTGAATTTTAACTTAAACTAAGATCAATGAGACGCGCTGCACGTGACCGCGTTCAGACTTGTCAATTGAAATTTCATCTTTCCGTTCATCAAGTGCGTTTATCGCTGTAATATTAATAGAGACTACACGGCCAATCGAAATAAGCATAGAATCTATGTTTTTTTTTGGGAGCATAGCAACTATACGTACACAATGCCGGTACTATAATTTTCGTCCTATACGTACACTATACATTTTCTCGGTATATGAGCTATGTCTGAAACTGTGGCGCGAAGCACGGTAAAAAGCATGAAAAAGGTATATGCAAGAAAATACATAATAAATCAAGGGGATTCGAACTCTCGAGCTCACCATTGACTTTCTCACACATCATTCGTGCAACAGCGTACATACCGTTAGGCTATCAGGCTGTTAGAATGTACCATAAGTAATAATATTTAACAAGCTACCACGGACTTGGAAGAAATTTCGTTGAATTACTGGCAGCAGCTATTATATATAGGGCCGTCTGCTCACAACACAACAGCTACTAGGTAGTAATGTTGTTATTCTAAAGCTTGCTACATTGTTGCATATATTAAATATGTCTGTCTTAGTGAAGATTACCGCTGGTGAAGCTGTATGCATGGTATGAAGACCTTGGAAGCTGTGGGATAACTCAATATATAGATCCTATGCTTTGGCGGCATCGATTCTATGCAGGACCGGTGATTGTAATGTAATTATATCCTGTTACCGCACCGTTATCCGGCAGCTATATAAACATTATAAATTTTTCCAGTATGTACCAGACCCTGAATATGTATAGGTTCTATATCTATTGTACACATTTAAATTGTTTTTCGTCAAATATGCAACGTGCGAATTTGACGATTGGCCGTGTACCATTGCATGTATTTGAAGATACTTTGCTCCTGATAGACGTCTGCCATCATACATAGCATTCATTGAAATTCAGACACATGACTTTCTCAACGGCTTTGTGAAATGATGAGCCTACACATTACTTCGTCCCCGGCGTGGTCGCTGAGATGGTCAACCTAGTGGATTAACAAGGCATTTACAGACTGTCACATAGTACAAGAAACATGGTGCATTGCATATACTGATTTCATGTCCCCAGCATAAGCAAGTCAAACACTGCGTACACGGAAAGCATCAAGCATACCACAATGCAGACATTACACGTTGGATCTGAGTCGTTCGATGCAATATACAAGAAGTTGAGCGGGACCTGGATCTTCGAATGGCTTGGCGGGGAGGGTGTCTTTTCCAAAGTAAGCCGTACCGACTTGTAGATTCGTGGTTGGATCCCGAACTTCTGCAGACATGTAGTTGAATGTAAGGGGAATAATATTGGCAGCGGTATCAACTTGGATAAGCTGCGTGTGCCGGAACGGAGTGTAGTTCCCAGTGGCAGCAACCAGAGGCATGGAGCTGTTGAATGACACACCAGGTACTCAAGGGATGGTGATTGCGAGTATAGTGCCACTGCTACAGAAGCTTTCAATATATTGTATATTTTTGCTCGGGAGGTCGAGTATGACTTACATGGCGCACAACCCAAATAGGAGGAAGGCCAGGAACTTTTTGGTGAACACTTTCCGTACAAACCCGTCTCCCCGCAATGCTAGGCTTTCACTTCTCCTGCCACTTCTTGCCCATCATCGCTTGATTGTATGCCGTACCATATCGATAAAGTATGTGCAGAATCTCGCATGTATATGGGCCAACCAACATGTGGAGTTGCGCGTGCGCATGGTAGTCGAACTTGTGCATGAAAATCTATAGGCGGAATCAACTTGTAGTAGTGAGGAGAAGCAACGTAACTCAGCATACTGAGAAGGTAGTTTCCAGCCTCTGAAAGATCAAATGGTGCCTGCAGGAACGAAACGCTGGTTCTCCCTCAGGTGATGATAGTACCGCAGCCAACCGAAACCGATTTAATTGGTCACCTATTAGTACAAGATCTATGCGACAAGATATCTCTTGTGGACTGATGTGACTGAGAGGTTGTATCAACCACGACAACTTGAAGCACGGTGAGCGCCTACTAGCAGACAACGGCAGAAAGAAGCGCTGAACGTGGAATCTGTATGCGGGACACCACGTGTCTACAGCATTACTGACATGTGGATTCAGCGGTAGTAAGCATCCTGTAGAAGAAGCAATTTAGCGACCACTCACCGTAGCGCATGTAAGTGACTGCTCCCTCCTCGATACTCTTGTTGACTGAGTTGCTGAACAAGATCCAATGGCGGTTACCACTCACGGAGCATCGTCAACTCGAAAGGAACTACCTCACGTTGAAATGACGCTCAAGGGTCATGAAGATTGGGTGACTGGCGTCGCTTTTATCCCAGGTACACGTCTCCTCGTCACTTGCTCTCACGACAAAAGTCTTCGGGTATGGGATTTGGACACGGGGAAACAGGTGGGGGAGCCCTTGTTGGGTCACGATGGTAGAGTCCGGACGGTTGCAGCATCCTCCGATGGGTGTTGGATTGTGAGTGGAGGAGAAAACGGAAGCATCCTGGTCTGGGAAGTTGAGACAAACAAGAGAGTGCCAGTCTCGTTCAAGGGGCATGAGAGTTTGATTTGGGGCGTCGTATTTGCACCGGACAACGAGACATTTGCAAGTGCGTCATCAGACGAAACGGTATGCGTGTGGAAGAGGAAAACGGGCAAAATTGTCCTCGGACCACTCCGAGTCGGTAGTGTGGCACTCTCGGTGGCATACTCCCCCGATGCTAGCAAACTAGCAGCAGGCACAGAAGAACACATCATCGTTTGGAATTTAGCAAATGGAGAAGAACTACTAAAAATAGAACAGCGGGCTTGGCGAGTCGCATTCACTCCAGATGGTCTCCGTCTCGTCAGTGGAAATCAAAAAGACATCCGAATCTCAGATGCTGTCACAGGAGACATCATCAAACAGTTTGACGCGCACACCGAATACTTTACCTCACTAGCCATTGCTCCCAATGGCACTAAATTCGCCACCACATCCAATGACAAGACGACGCGGTTCTTTGACCTGACCACATTCGAACCCATCGGCGAGCCACTCAAGCACCCCCATACCGTGCATTGTGTTGCCTTTTCCGAGGACAGCCAGCTCATCGCCACCGGTTGTTGGGACAAGCTCGTTCGCACATGGACAGTCCCTCAGAGTGACTCTGAGCAGGCGAGAAAATTCTTTCGTCGTGTCTTGCTTCAAGCTGACTTGTCATACAGTCCGAACAAAAAAATCTTAAAGTACGCTCCCCTGCTCCTCTTTATGTATTATCCCTAACTTCAGTCTTGCAGAAGACCATCCCAGGCCAAAATCCTCGCCCACAACGCACTAGAATCCCGCCTAGGTTCTTCAATGATGTAAGTCTATATGGTACGGTAGTCTCAATGAACATCTCACCATCCGTTTGTAGTTTGATCCGCATTCCCCGCCTGGACGCAACAACCGCACTACTACAACCACGCGCCATGCCGAAGGCTCACGAATCAAAAACATGATGAATCGTCTCTTTTCTCGCTCCTCCACTCCTCAGGGTGATACTCCCCTCCCCAGCAGGATCCCCACTGTGGATGTCTTCGAAACTCGAGGCAAATACGTAAGTTTGCCGAGCTGTGGCAATCTATGATCCCGTTTTCATGACATCCCCGCAGCGCACCGCTAACGCCATCAGCGGGAAACGGCATGTAGTGCAGCGACCACGTCCCCCTCCTCAACCACCCCACACTTCCAACACTAGTGTAGCGAATGCTGGTGCTTCAAGCAGCAGCGCACCCCCAGTGGGCACATCCAATGTGACTGATGGAACTACCTCAGCAACCTTGCAGACTGGAAGTGCTTCTGCTGCAACCAACAGACCCCCTTCTCTGATGGACGTTGAATATGTTCCAGACATTAGCTGCTTTTCAGTTCTCATAAGGTGCTTCCCGTGTCTTTCACGCACTCCATAGACATATCCTGCTGCTTCCCGCACCTGCTAAGCGGTCACTCCCTTCAGAACCTTTTCGTTGGAATAGAGATTACTACTGCATGTATTCGAAGATACTTTGCTCCTGATAGACGTCTGCCATCATACACAGCATTCATTGGAATTCAGATACATGACTTTCTCAACGGCTTTGTGAAATGATGAGCCTATACCTTACTTCGTCCTCATGGTGTTACGTCGCTTCGGGTTATCAACCTAGACTTCTGTCAGCGGTCTGAACGCTAGAACCACCAATGCTTGCAGTGCTTGACAGTCCAGCAGAGTCCAAACTAAGTGGCTTGCAAACGTACAGACGGGATGTACCCGAGAGCCACACGATGTTCAAGCTCTTCCAGACGACCAGGAAATACTGGATGAAAAGGTTTCTCAGAAGGCTGTAATACACCTCGCTGGAGTACCAGCTGAGATTGACCGGTGAGTGCGTGGCTGGTCGTTGTTGTGTGAGTACTGGGCTACACGATAAATTCTTTTAAATAGTCGTCACTGACCTCACTTAAGTCCAGTGTCAAATTAGTTTTGTTTTCTACGTGAGATTTATCAATTGCTTCGCCCTAGACTTAGCTCAAGTGACTCACCAGGTTCGGTTTATCTATTACAAGTTCATCTGTGTACATACCGTGTTTCCTGGCCACTCCGTTCAATGATATGACTTTATTATCGAGAGATGTTTTGGGTGGCACCGGGCGTCTGCTTGTGGCGCCTCTTTTTTGCGTTGGCATTGCAAATCGAAGGCTGTTGAAGTTAGCCGCGATCTGTAAACCCCAACCACGATCATGCCGCATTGTAACTTCTAAACCCTATCCAAAATGCCTCGACAGCTGCGCGCTCGCACATCCCGACCAAATTATGCTTCGCTTGCAGCTATAGGCAATGAGGAAGACCTAAAAACCAATCCACCCAAGTTATCCTTTGCCGAGGACGGGGATAGCGGTAGTGACTTTGCACCGGACAAGCTTTCCGAAGACGCCCCCGAGGATTTCCAGAATGACCCTGAAGATCTTCTTGAAGTAGACGAGGAAGAAGCGGAAGAAGCGCCGAAACGAGGCAAGAAGACTCCTACTACGGCAGGATCCAGGCCGATATCACATCTTCCCTCGATAACGGGAGCAAGACCGTCCCATAAGCCCCCACCAAAATCTCAGCCTGCAAAGGCATCTACTTCCAAGATGTCTGCTCCAAGAGTCGCGAAGATGTATGTACTACCAAATCCTAGCGTCCATCATCGACACAGAGCCATGCCAGTTTTTCTTCGCAAGGAAAACGTCGAACGACTTGATGCTCCTCCTACGCTCTTCACCACACCAGACATCGTGCCAACCAACAGTATGACATCAGAACAAATTCTAACTGATCGGATCAGCAAGGCTTGGGGTTACAATGTCGGCCCGGGTCCTGTATGGAATATCATGGAAGACCGGTCATGCTTCAAGGAGGCTCTGGAAGGGGAAGAGAATTCAGAAAATGAGTCGTGCAGGCGTCCCAGAGTTCATCAAGGTGTCGAGGTGAAATCTGGATGGACGAGACTGAACGAGCAGTAAGCCCTTTATCCACGTGCTCGTTCGACTCGCTCAATGTTAAAACTTGCTCAGTGATGCTGCGAGGTATCTTCCCACTGACACCGTGTTGACAGACGATGGTCAGCTGCGACCTCCTGCTCCTGTACATTGCTTCATTGGACCCCATGGTCGCCAGACTCGTGTTGAGATGGCCATGTTCGACAGTCATGCTACATGTATGCTTCATACTGCTTTCGCGGACATCGGTCACGATTACAACTCCGTCATTCACAGCAGAATATATGCCCGGAGACAAATCTTTCGTGTTTAATGTCGGAGCTCCTGCGTGGGGCGCAGATTGGTGCCCAACATATCCAGATGACCGACCCCGTAAGACAGCACTCCCTCGTCAGTGGGCGCGGCTTAAGATAATATATAGGTCGGGGTTATAAGCATTACCTTGCGATCGCTCCTTTCTCTTCGCGGTCTCACTCACCGATGATTGGTGCAAAAGCCCAGCGTCCCGTTCCCGCCTGCGTACAAATATGGGGTTTGCAGTCCAAGCAAGCGAACGACTCGCAAGCGGATCAATCATCGGTCGGTGAATTGAAGTGCGAGATGGTCCTTTGCTTGGAGTCAGGGCCTGCATTCGAAATTAAGTGGTGTCCTCTTCCCTCGCATGATCAGGTTTGTTTACGATCTCTCCACACCTTCACTCTTTTCTGACGATAATGGTACAGTGGAATGAAGTTCATATGGGAGAACACCCGCGAAAGCTAGGGCTACTAGCGGGGACATATGAAGACGGTTCATTGTCTGTATATGTCGTTCCGGACCCGGAGGATGTTAGGAGCAAAAACGGTGATCCAATGCGTCCGACATTTGGTGGGTGGTTAGCAATGGTTTATGAACATACCGCCGAGACTTCACAAAATAGTGCATTTACCCGAGCCACTTCTCCGGATCGAGCTAGAGGAAACTTCCTGCTGGTCTCTTGACTGGGCTAACAGCGAGACTATTGCTGTTGGTTGCACAAATGGTCTGGACATTGTCCTTTAGTCGAACTGCCCCTCATCACTGTCATCTTGTAGGTTACGTCGCTGTATATGACATCGGCGGTCATGCAGTTAGAACAGGTCAGAGTCAAAGTGAGTTCTGGCTGCCCTCACATATTTCATCGTGATGAAGTTTCCCAAGACATCCTCCCAACTCATTACATTTCGATACATCAGTCCGCTGTACGAGCCCTTTCGTGGATTCGTGTCCCGCCGACGAATGGCTCTGGCGTGCCATCGACCTCCGAAGACCCAACGGTTCTCGCTACTGGCGGATACGACGGCTTGGAATGTCTGACTGACATCCGAGAACCGCATGGAAATATTGTAAATAGGACGCGGGGTTAGTGCATTTGACAAGCAAATACCTTTCTCTGATATACGTTCCCTAAAGACGTGATCAATAGCACGACATACTCCGCATTCGCAGGTGGACCGATCATGATCGATCACGACAACACTGTCAAAGCATATTCAGTATCTCCCAGTACGCTAGGCAGAGGGCATGTCCTTTTGGAACCCGATGGGCCGGTGTGGGTATGTGCCACAACAGTGACTGTCCCTGCGCGTCTTGAATAAAAATTGCAGAGCGTCAGTGCATCGGACTACCACGCTCAGCTAGCGGTCGGATCCGCAGATGGCTCCTGCGTCACGACCAACACTCTGAAGTCAACAAGGAGAGGCGGATCGGTTGTACGTATCCCGTGACGATTATAAGCATTCTTCTCTCAAAGTCTTGAAGCCATTTTTCGTCCACAAAATCTTTCAGCTTGACTACAGCCGAAAAACAGGAGAGTTTCGTATGTTAGATCATTTCCTTCCGCAAGTGAGTGACATTCCAGGTATAGCCCCATTGTCACTGACACCCACTCCAGGAAACTCAAGAAAGGTCCACGAATTCGAAAGGGAAACAAGCCAAAAAAGATGAATCTGAGACAAGTATCAGTACTGGTGTATGGCCACCCGAAGTAGGCGTCCATCGTGTTACTTGGAACATGGGCAATGGTCTGGGCGGAGCGCCGCTGCTCGCATCTACCACAGGTTCAGGACTTTGTAGGGTGGATTGGTTACTAGGACGTTGGATCCGGAACAAGGTGCCATATGTGAATGTGCCACACATGAGGAAAGAGGTCGACGACGTTATGGACGAGGATAGCGGGGAGGATTGACGCATACAAAAACATTGTGATTTCAGTGTGTCTTCATGAAGTTCTGGTCCTTGATACGCTATTGATTCTCCTTTCTGAGCCGTTTCTTCTCTGCCTTGCCTCCAGGCCCGTAGTCCAGACTGGTAACGAGTCTAGGCAAGACACTCGTAATACCTTGTATTGTTTTGTCCACGGTGAACGTGGCGGCATCGAATTTCCTAATCGGGAAAACAGACCCCTAAGATGAAAGGAGGCTTTGCGGCAGTTTTGTCGTCGTGCTCACTACTCACTGTATCGTCAATCAGCATGGCGAATGCCCTCGTTAAATCTCGCACCAAGCGATGAAATCAAAAACAAGGTCTTCTGGGAAGAGACAAATGTCAGCGCTGATGAGTCCATCATGGATCACCTTATCCTGCCTTCCAACTTTACTGCAGAACGGATCAGCAGCATAACCTACCTCAATCCTGGACCACAAGGGAAGCTGATCGCGGGAGGGAGTATATTTACGCTTGCTAGCCCTCACACTACTGCGCAGTGGCAACTAGAAAACAGGATAACCAAGCCGAAGAAAGTGGCGCATACGATTGGTGGGGCTGTTGACAGGACTCTGAGATCTTCGAGAAAAACGGGTAAGCAGTGTGCGTCGAGTTTATAGACGATAATAACGAACTCTGAAGGGGAGTATTCTGATGGCGAGGATGTAGACGCTGTATACTTCCCTTCTGGAATAGGGGTGTTCGAGTCTGATAGTGAGAGCAGCTATAACGATCAAGAATACCAGGAGAAAAATATTACAAACAACAAACGGGCTCGGCCAGGGTTGATACCGGAAGCAAAGTGGGCGCGACTCTTCAACATCATCCAGGACTATATGTATAAGACGTACAAAGAGGCACACACTTACCCCCTCGCCTGCATCCTCTTTCGACCCCACCGAGCTTCGTGATGATGGCCTTCCGAAGCGAGAATGGTCTGCTCAATTCGCAAATTCTCCCGTTCCGAATGATGTCACTGCCCAAAAGCCTGACACAGTCCTTGTGGATTATGATTTGCTCATCCATTCCAAACACCCGAAGTACCGTGACACCTTCAAATTGACATGGACTCACTTCCTCGCGTGCATCGAGCTCACCGAGTCTGAGATCACCCCGACCAGAAATGTTCCAATCTTCAAGGGGTTCATCACCAAAGGCTACCTGATGATGCGGGGACAACCTTGGCGACGCTTCGCCGTGGTGTTCAGTATCGCAAAGGGACTGCTTCGCGCTCATTATTTCGACCATTCAGGGTTAATCATCTCACATCCTGTCCACATCACAAACGAACCTGAGCGCCTCGTGGATACCTTGAACACTATGACATTTGCGAACCTCGAAACCCTCGGTTTTGATCCTACGATTCATAGTACATGTCCATGCACCTTCTCACGGCGGCAGAAAGAGAAGAACTGGCGGTCACACACACGGCCAGCGACGACCTCGAGTCCCTCTTCTATATTTTCGTTGAGTTTGCTACCACGTTCGACGGGACAAGAGGCTACATGAATAAACCGAAGACACCTGTTTGGGTTGAGGCCTATGAGGTAGCGGGCAACAGGTCCATTGAAGTGAAGGCGGGGCTGGTGCTCTCGACTGCGAATAACAACCAGATGTTGATAGACAAAGTGACACCGTTCTTCGAGATCTTCAAGCCGGTCATTCAGGAGTGGCGCCGTACAATTATCAGGGCAGCAGGAAACGCCAACACGACCACTCATAACTTCGGCGGCATTAGTCACAAGGAGGTCGAGAGTATCCTCACTAAATGGGTCTCAGAAATTCCCGAAGTCGAAGAACTCCCCCTCGTTCCACTGCCTCCGGTGGCGTCATCATCGACATCAGGTCAAGCCGGTGTCCGGCTCGGAGCGCCATTACCACCACCACCTGCCCCCCGCCGTTCCAAGCGGCACCAGCCAGCGGCCAACGCCTAAACTATCTCAGTGCCCGTCAATATTCACTGCACTTACTAGTAGTTTCCCTTCACCACCAGTGGCCACTGGCTGGGCATCAGCCTCGAGCTTTAGTATAATTTCGAGGCTCTCCGTTCAAGTTATGGTGTCGTTGTAGGCCCCTATATGTACTACAAATTCAATACAATGGCAATCTCGAACCGACATCAAACCAGCAACTAGTACTTATGAACCTTTTCGTTCTGATTTGGGGTGGATTGGTTACTAGGACTTTGGATCCGGGACAAGGTGCCATATGTGAACGTTCCACACACGAGGACAGAGGTCGACGACGTTATGGACGAGGATAGCGGGGAGGATTGACACATCCAAAAACATTGTGATTTCAGTGGATGAAAAATGCGAATGGCACATTAGAAACTCATTGCAAATATAAGGTATCAAGTACACAACACCACCTCTTACTTTTCGCAGAGCTGTCTAGGATGCGGAGTGTAGCAGGAGTTCAGATCGCAGTGTCAGCAGTCGGTCATCTTTGGGAACATTTGTCTGAGATCGGCAAGCATGAATAGCCAAATTACTCACCACTAGACTACTGCGTCTTCATGAAGTTCTGGTCCTTGATACGCTGTTGATTCTCCTTTCTGAGCCGTTTCTTCTCTGCCTTGCCTCCAGGCCCGTCGTCTTCGTATACTTTTGGCTTCAGAAGGTCCCATAGCCACGAAGGATACTCGTCATCAGGTAGAGCTATCACTGGAGGTTGTCCTTTCAGATAGTTCAATCCTTCCAGGACTGTGCCTGGCGGACACGACGAAAGTGTCTTTTCTGAATTCATCGTTAACGTGAAGTCCTGCAGTTTCTATATCTGCACGTTCACCTTCAGCGGCCGACGCGTCTTTTGCACCTATGATCGATTTCTGTTCTGTATTCGAGCTCTTGGCGGCATAGCCGCGTGCAAGAAATGGAGAGAACGTTTGCCGGACAGACGACCGAGAGAGGACTGCAAGAAAGGACATTGCAAAGAGCGTGACAGATTTGTCACAGTACGATGTAAATCGTGACTGTCACAACGTACAGGTCTACCGTGACATAGTACATACTAATGACTCCACAAACCCTTCCAGCGCCGATCTGGACTGACACACGTCTGCACTCTGGATCCCTTCGGGACCATTGGATTCCTCTGCTTCATCGGAGAACAAAGCACAGGACAAATATCACGCTTCGCTCGGCGTGTATAGTGGAGCGGAATTGAAGAGCCTTGATACGCTGCGAACTACCCTTGGCGAAGTGTGGCTCTCGCTTGATCGGCTCGTCGTACGTTCTTGGCAGTTATGGCTTCATCCAGACCTTCTGTCTCGGGAATGTTTTCCGCGCTTGTTATCGCACCAAGTGCAAGGCTCAAGGCGATCTGAGTTTGTCCAGTCCGTATGGCCATCTCTGATGCATTCCCAAGTGCCACGACAAGCTGCTTTCGAACGCCCTTAACTTCCTCAGCATATTTTCCATGCGTATATCTGTCAAACGAGACCAAGGAGGCTGCAAGCTCTGCAGAAGACATGAAGTGCATCCGAGAGTAAGACGGGTTTGATTGAGTAACCTTCCGCCCAGACTCTGTACGAGACTCCACACGCCGAAAAGCGATTGACAGGAATTTCCGTATAATTTCGGGATGTGTAATCATTTGTACTTGATCCAAGGAAGTTGCAGTTGACAGACCACTCGGTGCCTTCTTCAGAGTTTGGATTGAATCGAGAATGCCACGTTGAGCGAGCACGGCCAACAATCGCGCGAGTGCTGTAGGGCCCATGACAAGTTCCTCTGCAATCTGCAAGGGGGAATCTACCTGGGGAGTTGCACGTGAGTCGCCAACCTGCAGTGCGAACATATCCTGTGTTCGCTCCGCATACATTAGATGGTCTTCTTCGTTTTCTGAATTTGCTTGTTGTACTTTATGTGATGCAACGTAAGCCACACGAAGAAGAGACTCCAACTCTGCGTTGGTAATGCCACACGAGTCTGCTGCATGGGTCAGGGTAGCAATCAACCGCAATATTGCTATCCGTTTAATGCCTGAACGAAACAGATACCAACTCAGCAATGAAAAACATCTTCTGAGCCACCATACCTCGTAGTTCGAATGCAAGTTGAAACGTCCTTTTCCCAAGCAGAGTTTTTGCTCCATAATTTTTAACGTTGTTGAACAACCTGTGAACAAATGGGTCAGAAATGAAGGCGCAATCAACAGTAGAAACTGACGACTCAACATGGCGCCAATCCTCTTCTTCGACGCCCATCCACACTTCGATTAGTTTCTCGCTCCATTCTTGTCTTGCAGTCAACATCTTTAAGGCTTGAGACAAAGCTTTCCACTCCTGGGTTCTCGACGAGCCATCCAACGGCGAAGGCACACCGGGTACTACGTAAGGGGGCCATTGGAATAGAAGTGCAAGGATTTCGCATGCAACCGCGTCACTCTGCCGCTCAGGGTACCATGCCGGTCGAGGGGTAATCGCACAATCTAACAACAAATCGATAATTCCTGGTCTTTTCTTGAGAATTTCAAGGCGAAACTTCGCAGGGAGCACGGGATAGGTACAAACAAGACCTTGGGCAGCCCACAGAGCATCGTCATGAGCCATCCCGGAGTATCGCAGAGCACACTTAGCGACCTCTGCTTCGGAAGCCTTTGAAATAGGAAACGAGGGAATGGAGTTAACAAGAATTCCATGGACGTCTGCAGCCAAAAACTCACATTTTGTCCTCTTAAAGCGATTATTCCACCCTGCCATTTTGTCTCCGGAGCATAGAACTGTTCGACAAAAATCCGAGGTCCTTGGAGCACAAAGACACAGAGCTTCGCAATAATATCCGCTACCATATCCGCAGAAATTCTGTTCCCAATTAGACCAGCCAGAGAGCGAATGGTGCTAGCAGCAAGTTTGCGGTGTGCGCAGAGCCAGCTATCTATGTTCTATATAACATCCTTCAGATTTCGCCCAAACGAAATCGTATGCGCCCTCACCTTGAAGCAGAGATCCACAATGTTGTGATTCATCATTTCCTCAGCAACTGATTTTCTTTCTGCATCTGTCCCTACGTGCAAGAGGTCGACCAGCACCGCGAGTCCACAATAACTGGCCAGTGCATGTCCGTTCTTCATGCCGAGCTTGAACGTGCCATATCTCGACGTGATCAATATCATGACTTCCACCAGGTCGTACTTCAAGCAGGTGTTGATCAGGTAGTTGAAACCGGGAGGTGCTCGATGTCCCTCAATTGTAGTCCTTGATAATGTGGTCCTGTCCCATAGGATGCCCTGAAATAACGAGTAGTTCTAGTTGTCTTCAAATGATGATTACACAAACGCCACGTACCGTCCATGTACAAAGGAAATCAGGGTCTACCTGGGGGTCTCTAAGCCTGGCAAGATCTCTAGCCATATAGCCATCTAAGACTTCGCGGTTGATTGTGTCAAAAGTCCGCTGAATTTCGATTTCGAGTGATTGTTCCCACTGGGCATAGGAATCTGCCATAATAGAAGGATCATAGGGACCCTTGAACTGGTTAACTGACATTTCTTGGTCGGCGCAGTAAACCGTGAGTCTGGCGCTGATGGAACCGTTCAGAACTATTGAAACCTTGAATTTGTTGATGTTGCTTTGAAGAAATCAGCTGTGCTCACTCAGCCTCACTGGCATAAGCTCATAAGCTGCGCGTGTCGGAGAGATCGGAACATTAATCCGGGAGAACTTGAAAATACAGCCTAGTACGCTCATAGGGTGGGTTGCTGTTTCTCATTTGTGAGCAACATAATTTGGACCAGAGGACTCCCCGGCCAGAGAAGTCTGAAATGAGGGTAGCGCTCTGACTGTTGCATTGATTTCGGATCAAGAACACGAGTATGTAGATGAATATACATTAAATACAAAAACAAGACGTGCAAATATACATCATGATCATCCGGACGATTATTCTATCCTAGGTAAGACGTCACATCATCGCAGATTAGTGTGATTATAAACAAGTTCGAGTGTTCATTCGACTCGTATCAGAAAAGACCTGACCCTGGGAAAAGCTGCGACTCTTCACCGTGCTCGTCATCTTCATCAAGGCTCTCGTCGTCCACTGACGCGCGAAGAGGCTCGGGGGACAAGTCGTACCCATGGACTTGTCCTACGGGTGCATCAAACCCTATAGGTTCGTGTTCGAAAGGATCGATGTCTGCATCTGAGATGGTTGGCTGTATCGGCTGGACAGCTTGAATAGGGCGTTGAATAGGCTTCGGAGGGGGAGGAGTATATTGTTGAGGTACGCGCGGTGGGTTGGACCGTGGTGGAGACATGGCTGCTGGACGCTGTGCCCGAGTAGGAGATGCCTGTTCAGGCCGGCCTGATAGCGGCGAGCGCGGCTGAGCCTGCGGTTGTGGTGGAGCCGTAGTCTGAGGTTGTGATCGAGCTGCAGTCCGAGGTTGTATCTCGTATTCGAGCTGAGCATGAATGTAAGTAGTGTATCAAAAGCAGATCCAAAATACACCTACAGCAACAAATACTTCCTCCCTGTGTCTCTCGCCCACATCCTTGTCGATGCAGTAACACAAATACAGCGTATCAGCACTAGGACAATAATTAGCACGAGAATGTTGTAATGATGACCAAAACATACACATCTTTGACTAGTCCTACGCAAAACAAGCCCACAAGCGCGGTGACACCACCAGCAAGTAACGAGGCTCCCAAAGCATAATCTGGTGCCTCCAATGTATGTGCGACAAAAAGATATGTCATAAGTGCGAAGGGGAACGTCAGCGTTAGAGGTGCATATGTAAGCATCCGTAATGGTGCTGAATGGGACGTCAGCTATGATATCGCGGACCGTAAAAATAATACACACGTTCAGTCCTGAATTTCTTGCGGTAACGACCTGCACTGGCAGTCTCGACAGCGGCAGTGAGAGCCCGGGCTCTCCTTGCGCTCGCAAAGAAGGGGTCTCCAGTCAACCCGGTATATACGAGCGCATATTTGCTCAAGGATGTTGTAACGGTCTCTAGATATGAGACTGCCATGCCTGAACCAAAGATTATAGGCTGACACCATGGACGCAGAGCAAGCGGGAGATAGAGCGGAAGCCAGCGCAGGGCCAGGGTAAGGAGTCCTAGCAACCGGATACCCGTGAGGATGAGTGCGCTGAGGGCAATCGATCCGAGGGATGGGTATGCTGCCCGCATGAGAGCAGCATGAATGATGTGAGTATCGCCTGGCAGTGGAATTGGAACATCGGGACTAGGAGTCATGAGTAAACGAGATAAGAACCGAGGAAGAACAAACGCTTACTCGGCAAAGTACCAAGCGCCAATAACACCCGCACAAGTCGTACGCAGCATACCCTTCGCGACACACCAGCTCCAAAGCCACACACCGACCGCACCAACGATCGCCCAGTTCGCCCATCCTCGAACATGCCCTTCTAGTGTCCCATTGGGTTCAAAGACATAACCAATCAAAAGGAGCCGGAAGATCAGGGTAATGAATGGTATAGATGCGACTAGCATGGCGAGAAGCATCACGGGAGAGAGAGCGAGAAGGAAAGGATTTGCAATGAGAAGCCGTGTGGTAAGGTCAAGGATAGATGAAGTTGAATGGATTTCTCGGGGTAAATTCACTAGGCGTCTGGCAGTGATGACGGAGAGAACGAGAGGTACAAGTGAGAATAGTCGAAGACTGAACACACTGATGAGCTTACGCAGTCAAAATAACGAGAAAAGTGCTCACCCAACAGTCTCACCCCAAGTTGGTTCTTGGTCTCCACCCCACATGAAACTACCAACGAATGCCCAGATAGCAGAGATAAAAAGTGTAGCTGGTATGAATACTGATGTTGCGATCATGACTGGACGAACAAATATGCGGAGGAGGAAAACGTGGGCATATGCCACGAGAGCGCTCAGAAATGTCAATATGGTAAGGAGGGGTACTGTATGCAGCAGAGTTGTGTATGGGAGTGACACCTTTCGTTCGCCGTCCTTGCGAGTCTTGCCAGAGAAGAATAGTAGTAGAACGGAAAAGAAGACGCATATAGAAACACCCGTACACCAAAATATGGTCCAGTGCGAGTCATTAAACTTCCGTCGACTTCGAGTGATATGCCGTGGATCTGGTAAAGAGAATACGTCGATCGGGCGTGCGGTGCCATCCCTCGGCAGTAGCGACTCGGTTAGAGATAAGGAGACTGGCTCGTGAGCTCGTGGAGGTGGAGGCGGAGGAGGCTGTGCTCTAGCAGAGCGATTAGGCATGAATCTCGGTGACTCGACAGTTGGGCCGGGTGAACCAAGTGATGACGATGAAAGGGACGGTGAAGGCGAGCGAACTCTTCGAGGAGGGGACGCTTGGTGGGCAAGCCAACCCTTTGGATAGTCTTGAGACTCAGCTTGGCCATAGTCAGATGCCATCAAAGGAATTGACTGAGAAGCATGATGAGAGGCCCCTGGAGGGTCATCCCCTTCGTCAAGGCGTAGATATGGGTCTTCGTCGTCTATATCATGTACTCGACTCCTAAGATTTCCGCGACTTGACAGTCTACTTGCACGCAGATGAGGATCGTCAACGTCGTCAACGTCTGTGTCATGATCATCACCTGCACGAGACCCTTCGTCGGTTGTGAATGAAAAGAATAGAGGCTGCGAAGAGGACAGACTCGATGCTGGATTATGCTGCTGGGTCAAAAATTGGGAGGCGTACTGAGCGAATGACTTTGCCATCGCCAAACCACGTCTCCTTCCTAGTCGTATGCAGAGTTGGTGAGCGAGTATCCCCGGGAGCTATGTGGCAGCTCTTGCCCTGCGTTAAAAAACCTGGTCCAAAGTGACTTGCGTATCCGTAGGAACCTTTTGCTATATGCGGCGATTGCCGCCAGTGCCTTGTGCATAATTTGGTGCTGGTCTCCTCTTCAACTTCTGCTAGATGCAGACCGCCTCTCAATCGTGGGCAACCAATGGCTCCTGGCTCAGAGCCACTGCGCCACTATGTCTGTGTATTTCATTCTTGTATGCCACAGGAATGCGTCAAACCCGACAGTACCGTATTCACCTGGCAGATGTGACAGCCCAGCATGAATCCACGCACGTGAGGCTTACTGGCACGTTCCACAGCTTTTGCAGCGATCACAAAAAGCACTCAACCAACAATATTGTCGTCTTCTTTTCGATTGGAGTATCACCCACATCACCAGCAGCCTTACCATTATTGCTCCGCACACTCTGGCTTTTGAGCGAATTACAAGGCATGCAAAACCAGTCCAAACTTCGCAGAGCAGCATTCCACCTTTGTTGACGAAACGAGACAGCGTTCATAGTTGCATCTTCAACATGAAGTCCCAGCGAAACACCACTATATGCTGATAACGAGATTTAGGAAACAACCCACTGGCAATGAATTTGGCCAATTACAGGAGGGGTCAGAGAAGTATGCCTCCACTCCCAGTGTGCAAGTGACGCATTTGAACAGGAAAGCCGAACCCCCCAGCGACGTGCATGCGTCTGTGGTAAAGGACTTTGTCTTTCAAAGGGCAGGTGATGCATTTGTCCGCGTAGATTTTCAGCCGCACGGCGTATGCCAGACTAAAAAGGTAAATGCCACTAGTTCACCAAACTAGCCTGCAGGAAGATAAATGTGTGGCGGCTAAACGGGTAGCTCTGGTCGGGGACAACTGCCAATTTGAAAGTGAGTGCTGTGGGGTTATGAATTCGATTGACGTGTTCATCAGCTGCGCATGCTCAGGGACATCAGATCATCTTGCGTGTGTGAATAGAATGCAGCATTTTGTGTAGATAGCTTTATGCATATAAGGCATAAATCGACACTGCAACGAAATCTCGAAACCTTCCATCAGATATATGTTCGACGAAGCTGCGGGCGGTGGTTCAGGGCGAGAGAACTCCGGCGTAGCGGATGAACTGCTAGCCTTGTTACCTCGAACTTCCCACCAAATCCTACTGACCTGTGCAAATGTTAACTTGTAGAAACGAGGCTATACATGGTGATAAGCCTTATCGGGACAGCCACTTCAGCTGATGTGCACTCACGGTGGTGAGATATGCGAGCATAGGTTGCTGTGCCCTATGCTACTGCCAAGTACAATGTAAACAGCCCTGACCTTTCTTCAGATGCATAAAAAGCCAGCGAAGAGTATCCACATCTTCATTACCCACTAGTAAACCATCTGAGCCTCCTGCTCATATCTGCCATGTGAGCTTTTCTTCAACGTTATGGTCTCTCGCAGATACCCAAGTACTGACTTGCTCCAGGCCATTAAACGTAGCGTTTGGCTACACTTGTCATGAATACAATCACATAAGTCCATCGACTACTCTCCCCCAAAACAAGACCAAGTTTCATACCTCGGGTAAGAGAATTTTCTTTGACGCCCCTTCAATTGTAGCTCACGACATATTTGCAGATCACGGGTCACCTCCGAGTCTCTCGCCCATTATCGTCGAGTCGACACCTGCAGTACATGAGCATCAGGAAGCATCCGAGCCCATAGCCTTTTTTTTGACTATACACGCCACAGTGTTCTCTCGGGCACTGTTTGTTGAGAAGCATGAACCCCGAGTCAGTTCGTACTCTAGTAGGCTAAGAGTTGAAGAGGTGATACCCGTAACATTTCCCGAGAAATACCATTATACATTTTGTGATACTTGGTCTAAGAATAAAGTTCCAAGAATAGATGGATGGATGGA